TAATTCATAACAATATTTTCTGGCGTGTTTAGAGACCTCTCAAAAAATCACTTGTTGCTGTTTTGATTAGCCTATGAATATTGACGTGGCTTTCGCGCATTCTTAAGCAAGGTTCTCTTAATGTTGACCAAGCACTGACATGCACATAAATACCTCTAGGGGCTCCATTGAACTCACTAAATAGTTTGTTGTAAATTTTTTCATTGCCAATGCATAGGTGTTGATGTTATTCTGCTTGCGTGCTAGGCTGTTATTACTTATTTATATGGTTCAACATGGCGTATGAATGACTTTTAATTCATAAAAAACCATATTTGCCGGTGACGAATGCAACTGGACGTTTATAGACAGTAAATTATAAATTATTGAAAAATCACGACAGATGTGCCTAAATACGAGACATATGCACTTATTTGCGTTGCTAATAAGTAGAAGGGTGCGCATGAATTATTGAAGAAATATGTGAACTTACTTAGAAGGAGAGAATTTTTATATTTGGTTAATTTTTATTTTTATAACAATTTTAGTAAATCTTAAATAAATTATTTTTGGAAATAAATTAAATGTTCAAATATTCTAAAAATAAAATTTTTAATAGCCATTTTTCTATACTTTTGTACTCACCTGTGGCCTAAATGTGGTAACACAACTGGCTGCAAGTCCTTTGACCCAAAAACAAGTTGGCGTAATCATGTATGGTATAATATGTCAATCAAAATTGTTTTTGTTAACATAAATACGTGTCTGTAAACACTCTTGTCTAACACAAATCACTTATTGACACTTAACAAGCAATTAGGTATTAGGCGTAGGAGTTTGCCAAGTCACTAGAAATTAAATTCTATGTTTTTAGTGACTTAAGCAATTAGCTAATTTAAATATCCACTTACTATGTACATACATACATATTTACACATGGTGATTTCTAAACAAAACAAATGCTTACTTATCTCAAATCTAGCGTAGCAAGAAATTTTTCCAGTAAAAGGATATATCAAGGACATGCTAAACCGTAAGCAGCAACAACAGCAAATTAACTGAGGCATTTGATTAATTGTCGATGCTGATTTTTCAAGGGACTCCGATAAAAAGAGTGTGAAGTTTGAGTAATTTCCTTATACATATACAATACATTAGGGTGGGTCAAATAAATGAAGTAATTCCAATTTATGCGTAAAAATTAAGCTATACGAGTATACAAATAAAAAATACAACTATTAACAAAAATTTTTAAATATGTTGGTGAGCTTTCGTAGTTTCTTTAAAGCTCATTCTTTTCAAATTTGTTTTTAAACTTTTATAATGAATAAATTGAAATAAAAATCTTGTTGGCTATACACATTTTAAAGAAAGAAACTATTTATTTAGCTACAAAATTCAACAGATGTTGGTGAGCTTTCAAAGCTCCTTCAAAGTTCTTTTTAAATTTTTGTAATGAATAAATTTATAAAGAAATCTCTTTGGGCATAAAATTATCTAAAAAAATACTATTTACTTAGCTAAATTTTTTTAAATTATGTTGGTGAGCTTTCAAAGTTCCACATAGAGCACGGTAGAATTCAATTAATTTCATTAAAAATACTATAACTTTTTAAACATTTAGAATAAATAAATTGAAATAAAATTATTGTATTTTATTTAAAAAAAATTTTATTAAAATTAAAAAATAATAATTTTTTTTGGCAATTAAAAAATTCCCATTTTTGTATTAATATGGAAGTATAAATAGGGAAACTTTGAAAGCTTACCGACATCTTATAAAATTAATCTTAAAATGTTTCCCTGCAGGGATATTCTTCTGCAGATTAATAATCTGTTGATTATTTTAAGCTACGAATTCGTTATATTAGTTTTTGGCTCACCCTAATATATATTATAATATTGTATATACACTGCTAGACGTATGTACACATGAATATGTATACCGGTGTTTTTCTTACGGAAAATTACGACAATATGTCTGTTAACCGTATAAATATTTTAATTATTTATCGACTTTTTGGAGATATATGCATGTACGTACATTTACTCCCTCAATGTAACAGCAACACATACTGTTGTTATTGTTTATTGTTCATCAATCGATCCTTATCATTATTGAAGACTAAAATTTATCGCTAATAGGTTATGGCCCCACGAATTTTTGTTCCAGTAGAGTTTAATAGTTTAAGTGCCAAAATGCATAGGTAATTGATTATCATATACCAATACAAAATAATACAGAATTAAAGGGTGATACATTTCGAGGTTCGCTATTTTTTTTRAAGAAAAAACACAGCAACTTCGAATTTAATGGGGCATGCTTATTATCATTCGAAAGAAAATTCTTTGCATTTTTTTTTTTAAGATTATCCGTTGAGTCCAATTTTCGATGACTCATTCGAGCATTTCGCAAAACGTGAAATCATCGACTCATCGAAGTGCTCTCTCAATAAATTCATTGATTGTTGCCAAGTGTGGGAAGTGGCCCCGTCTTGTTGAAACCAATTGTCGCCGAGATCGAGCTTCAATTTCAGGTATCAAATAGTTCATTATCATGATGTGATAACGACCGCTATTGAAGATTACGATCTCATCGGCAAAATTTTTGATGGAAATTTGGACCGATGACTCCAGAAATGGTCATCACCGCTGAACAAAATTTGGCTCAAAAACATCGKATCTCCTTRGAACTTCTAGAGCCCATAGAGCGAAGCACRCGTGTTTGCACAAATGATATTTTGTATGCTTTCAATCTATGATGTCGACGTAAAATWCGACAAGTTGTTCCATATGTAAGCCCGAGTTGCTCCTCCAAGGTCTATATGTAAACTTCCAGCGTCGGCTGCTACATTTTCTTCACTGCGTGGTGGACCTAAAGCACAAGTTGATATTTATTGCAAGGGTTACTTGAAGAATTGCAACAACTATATACATATAAGTGCACGTAAAAGCCAATAATAAAAATGGATTTAGCATTGCACCATATTCACAACTTTTAAAAGAACCCGTCACAAAATTGAATGAACACACTTGAACTTCTGAGCGTGGCGACAGTTTAACTAATGTCATGGAAGGTRCGTTCCAGGATAAGCGAGCTTTTTCGATCAATTAAAACTGAACTAAATATATTAAGTTTGTCACATAGAGAAGAAAACTTCGAAGCTCCTATATGGCATATACATAARTCATCAGAGTAATCAGTCAGTAAAAAGTCTGTCTATAAATACGGAAATTACTTCGTCGATCTGAAATTTTGCAGGCGTCTTTTCTACCCTCAGATTCTGCTCACTTTTTGGAATCGCAGATATCGGCGCACTGTAGCATATAGCCGCCATACAAACTAAACGATCAAAACCAAGTCTCTGCATGGAATGCCTCTTTTATTTTAAAATGTAGTTCAGATCCGATCATTATAGCATATAGCTATCATACCAACTGACTAACCAAAAACAAGTTCTTGTTTGGAAACCACAATAACTACATAACATTACATTAAGAAGTATTGTCAGTGCATTTGAAAATATGTAACGGTAAAGCATCACATACATTCTTTAAAAACTTTCACTTTTTCTTGGAATATTACTTCTACTGCACTTATGGTGCTACAAGCAATCAAGTAGTCATCTTAATACTACCCTCTAGAAAATTTTATCGTAAATTACTCTCTGCTGCTGTAAGTATCCACAAAAAAAAACATCCGAGAGATTGGTCTTAACTCGATAATTTACCACACATTAATTATCAGGTTCCAAAGAATTTTTAAAAAATATCTAGCAGTGGTTCATGAATTATGTTGCTAAAATTAAGATTAAAATTGTCCCTTTATTAAAATCCAGTCCGAAATTTCTATATCCCAACATTAACCTTGCGAAAGACTCTTTGAAGCATCACTAAAGCTTCCTTCCGGATTAACCCACATACAGTCTTCTAACTTAACTATGGAAAGAACAGAAAATATATAGACTTGAATTTTCAGAATATATAGGGAGTAGCGAGGATGGAGCCATGTGTAGAAGTCCATGCAAGTGAGGAAAGTTCTTTGAGCGCATTCACTTGGTCAGTGGTCAGTAATGATTCTTTTACATATGGCTCAAGAAGCGCACGACTTCCGGTCTTAGATCAAGTATCCATCAGTTTGAAGACGAGCTAAAGTGAGAAGGCGAAACATCTCCTCCCACCACGCAAAAACACTACCAATTAAAGGAAGAAAACAGCTTCGAATGTGAGACAATCTTCTATAAGAGTGTACAGCTGCTGGATATTGATATTATTAGCCTCTATAGCCGCGCCGTTAGTTCTGCTTTCTTCAGACTAGATAAGGAAGCAGAGCAGATGGGTTCGGTAGTGAACGAGGGTAAGACGAAATATCTCTTTTCACCAAACAAACCGTCGTTGCATTCGCGACTTGGCTCCCACGTCACTGTTGACAGTCATAACTTCGGAGTAGTAGATAATTTTGTCTATCTTGGAATCAATATTAACGCCAACAACAATGTCAGATTCGAAATCGAAACGCAGAATAGCTCTTGCCAACAGTTGCTTCTTTAGACTGAGTAAGCAATTGAGAAGTAAAGTCCTCTCTCGACTAAAAAAGTCCAAACTTWAGAAGTCGCTCCTTATTCCCGTCCTGATATATGGTGCAAAGGCATGGACGATGAAACGGCGAACGGTGGAGAAGGACCTGTCTACACTAGACTACGAAGGACTTTTAAGTCCGAACCTAGGAATTCTGGACATAACAACTCCATTTTCCTACCGGGTAAGTTGTATCGGAATATGGGAAAATTTCAACCAGGATAGTTTGTATTTATTTTCTTATATGTATGTCAGTCAACTGTACATACATTTGTTTTCTCGTTTTTATAATTGTATGTAAATAAAAAAAAATAACTAACATTGACGGATTGGACAAAGGCTCAACGAACCATTCAACATTTGGTGGGTGAACCAGTAAGCAAGCATGCAAATGAATTTCATTCAGAAATTGACGGTGTAGCGAGTGACAAGTGAATCGAACAACGACGGAATAGCGTGTGGAAAACCGTAAATTGCAAAGATGGAAAATTAGATAAAAAACTATAAAAAATAGAACGCAGTACACGCAGACTTTTATATACAAAGGCATATCCAAATTTATGTGCAGCAATTAATTTAGAGACTTTACTTAAATAAAAACTAAACGGAATTGTAAATTTTTTGTTGAAAAAATCGTATTTTCTAATGTTTACTTGCGACCACGCTTAAGTGCGAATATGCATTTTTCCATAATATCGTCGCACAAATGATGGGATGTGGTTCATCGATGGACACGAACAGTGTAATTGAAGAGCCCATACAGAGCTTGGATCGTTGGCAGCAAGGCGACATGGTAAATATCGAGCGCGATCCAAACTAAAGTTGCTCAAAAACTTAGACTTTTCCGTCTTATACCACATATAGGATCCCGCTGCCGTCATCGAGGAATTTGTGCGTTTGGATGAACGCATCAGCAAGTTGGAAGCCACTTGTCCGGGGCCGCGTATGGCCACCGCCGAAGCTTGGGTGGAGCACTTGCAGTCGCAACGCGATTCTTTGCTCGGTGTTGACACCGTAGATATGGCCTTGAACCCACAAAATAGCGGCTCGTTGCACCAGCAGCAACAGCAGCAACAACAACAACCGTCACAACACCAATACACACAGCAAATGAATAGTGAAATATTGACGTTGAATGAGATCGATGCAACAACACCGCCTCCCATTCACCAACCGCCCTTGCAACCGCTGAACGCTACTGCAGCCACAACAGCGACATCAAAGGTAAACAAAGGCACATTACTACGGGGAAATGGCGCCACAACAAATGGCGTAGGCGGTGCGGCACGACAAGCTAATAACAGCATTGTGGCCAATACACCCACCCAAGATTTGGCTAATGTGAGTTGTAAACACAAATACCAAACTGTCACTTAAAACACTCCATTATATATTCAGGAGGGGTTAGTGAACTGGTAGAGTAGTACTGAAGTACCGCGGTGGGGTTTGAGTGTGGGTTTGACGATATAACATGGTTTTGTGCGAAAAAAGGTATCGAAAGCTTTCGGGGTTTTGAAAGCAAATCACTATTTTTTTCAGGATGACAACTGCTTCTCGAAAAGTTCTTTGAGCAAAACCTTAGCTTTCTTCTTTTCTTTGATTTCTTTGTCAATAACTTCATTCGTCGAAAGGTATGATGAGAGAGATTCAGCCTCGAAATCCAACGCAGAATAACTGTAACCAAAAGGTGCTACTTCGGATTGAGTAGGCAATTGAGATGTAAATTCCTCCCCAGACGAACAAAGACCAACCTCTATATATAAACGTACGTTACGAGTTCTCGAGAGAAAGGTGCTCCGGAAGATTCAGCGAAATAAGAAACAGCGACTGCACTGAATACTCGTAGGTCGTATCGTCCGTATGGATAAAAACATTCCAGCTCTGAAAGTATTCGACACAGTACCGAATGGGAGAAGCAGATGAAGAGGAAGACCTTCAAACCGTTGGAAGAAGAGCATTCCATATTTACCGTTTGACCCCCTAGAACGATCTCATTTTGAAGTTTTGCGACCTCTACTCAACGTCATTTTTCCAAAGCTTCAGATCAGTATGAGTCTTGTATTGACCCGCTTCATGTACAAAACATTAGCCAAAATGTGCTGTGCCGATGCAGAAGCGACATTGAGATTCTCTGCTACCTTCCTGATGCCGAAGCAAAGATTTTCGAACACATTTTCCCCAACTATTTCGATGTTATTGTCATTAAGAGAGGTGGATGAAAGACTGGCAAGAGGCAAGACTTCACAACCCTCGTTGAAAGCAATGTACCACTCAAACCACTTGTATTCACGATAAAGTAAAAAAAAATGCGGGTTTGTATTGAACTTTCAGAAAGTGTTGAACAATATGCTCCCCAACTCGGTGGACAAGTACTCAGTACACCAAGCTAACGTCATGAAAAGTGCTATAAATGACATCGCTAATAATTTCTTTGACAGAACTGTATTTAAGCCACTAAATACTTTTCCATTCACGCCTTTGTTAAACGCACCCCTAAAAGCTCATGTAGCCTTTTACTGGTTTTTAAGCACGCGTCCTTGTAATTCCTACGTATTTGAATATGCGCGTATATACACAGACATAATCACGAAAATACATCAATATATATTTAAGTACATATGTTCTCGTGTGGCTAAATGAGCTTCAGCCACCACCTCGTAGTTTAACCCCCTGCGACGTTCGAATGTGTACACGTGCAAAGTGGCGACTCATTTGGAGCGCGTTCGTACTTCCTTCCTGTAGTAATTTGATTAATTGTAGGCGTTAGTTGTTGTTATCTTTGCTTGTTTTGAATTACTTGTCCATGAAATGTAATATTGGGTAATTTCTCGAAAATCGGTTTAGCTGTTTGTTGTTGTTGTTGTMMTAACGATGTGGCTAATTATTAACATTTGCGGAGTTTTGGGTAAATGACCAACAACCGGACGTACAGTGTTGTAAAAAAACTTCAACATTGACGAGCAATCATTTTTACAGCAAGTTTTGTCGTAAAATTTGACTAAAACATCCTTCTGACTGCTAAGAGAATTTTCCATCAAGTTCTTATAATAATTGAACCATTATATTTCGAGTAACATGCGATCTCCGGCATTAAAAAAACAATGCTTTTCCACTGCTCCAATTATTCCGGCATTCTCGTTGGATGAAAGCTCGATATACCAGTAGTACGAATGATTGACGACCGCTCAGATAGTTCATAGTCCACCTCTTCAGTCCTCAGTCCGGGAGAGAACGTAATTTTTTCGATATCCTCAACTAGCCTTGTGTGATTGACTGTGCTCAAGGCTACGACGATCGTTCTCTCGCAGAGTGGTTTTGTTTAAGGCCACGAACTCTCTGGGCATTTATGACGCTAAGTGCTGTGGTAGTACTGAGCACTTTTCGGAAATCATGCTGGTGGTTTTCTAGGCTCATGTGGTGTGTGAAGCTGAGGGGTTTCTCAGGTTTCAGTAGTGGGACCACACTTCCGACTTTCCACACATCGGGTATTTGAACAGGTTKAGAACCTTTGTGAGGTAGCTTACTCCTGTCTAACCTAGATACTTTAGCTTTACAGGACTTCCATTCTGTTTTAGGCTTCTGAGACAAATATGTGTACTCTTGAATCTATTAGTGATTTCATAGTCGTGATATAGATATAAATATTGTTGGTTATATTTTGCTCAGCATTGTCAGATTTGTACTTCGTAACTCATACGCCCTGTCATACTTGTTCATTGCAACTAAATGCCAACAGTGATTAACGTGCTTCGACACTTTAAGAAATTATAGGTACAAGTTACGATTATTTTGGCAGGAGTAAGGAAATATATTACTAAATAATATGCGTACAAGTCYGGTAGGTCTGATAGGAAAATATTTACATGCATGGCTAGACAAATGTGTTGACTTTGCGGACTTCAAACAAAGTATTAATTTTTATAACGAAAATGTAGAGAAAAAGAGTGAAATAGTAATACAAACACTTCAAAAATTAATTACCTAGTATATATTTTGCCAGCTTGCCACAAACTTGGGTGTTGTTGGCGATGCAAATAAGGCTTCCACACATGAGGACTTCTTCGCGAGCCTCAGTGAATCTGCGCTTTATCTAACGTCCATCCGTTACTATACCGAAATACTGGAACACACTAAGGTGCGACTGAAAACGTTAACGGAAAGCTACAACGAATTAAATGAACTATATGTGCATCACGACGGCATTATAGGTAAGCGCTTAAAAATATATATAATACAACAATTACAACGTGCTTTAAGCGCCTTTCAGCCTTTATCAGTGGCGGTACGTACATGACACGACTGGAGGAGAGCCTGGACTCGCAACTGGAGGCGGCGCGTGATGTACGCGATAAATTAGGCAGCGCCTTGGAGCAATGGCGTATATGCGGCACTTTGTTGCGCACCAGCGCCACCTCGGCCACACAGGCTTTGCAGCAGTGGCAACAGTTGGCTAAAGCAATGTAAGTTTTTTTTTTTTTTAATGTGCATTTTAAATGTAATTTCCACTTTTGCATTCAAGTGATCCGAAACACAAAATTCAACTTGCTTTGGAATGTCGTGCGGCACTGCAGGCCGCTTTGATATCGGTGGAGTGTGCGCAATTGGCGCTGCCACATGTGGAAATCAAGCACATAAGCAATCGTCAACTGCTGGCAGTTAAGCATTGCAACACCTACATGATTACAGATATAGCGAATCTGGCAAGGTGACCAAAGAAATAAATTTAATTGAATGAAATGTAATCATATTATATATTCTTTCGCCGCAGATATCAGCATACGAGTAAAGTATTCACCTCCTTTGAGAGTAATACGTCCAAGGCTTCGATGTGGTTGTATGAAATGTTCAACAAAACTTTGCGGCATGATTTCGATAAAGCCGAGGAAACGGTGCGTCACTTGGCTAAGACTTTAAGAGATCATCGCGAAGAGATTTTCACCGCTGCTCGAAAATAATATCATCCGCATGTTCGAAAATGGCAATAATCGCTAGCCCAAAGCAGCTTGTTTTAGTAGTTGTAAGAAATTTGTTTCATTATATACATATATTTATAGTTTTTATTGGTTAACAAATTAAAGCATTGCTTAAAAAACGTAGCTACAACTTAATACCAGTAGGTCTTTTTTGGTGTACGCTCTTCCTCAATGCCCATCTCTTCCATAATATCCATTTCAAATGTTGACAATTTGGGTTGGAAAGTTATTTCGGATACAACAGCGGCTACAAAAACAAATAAAACGAAATATTATAATACATTACAGTTATTTGAAGCAGCTGATTTAATACCAGTTGTATCCTTTTCGCGTTCAATATATGCGCCCGGCGTTTTATAATCGTGTGTTTGATTGTTCGTCTCTGGTATGGGTATAAGGCGGCCAGTGCGCGCCGATACACGTACCTTCTCACCCTCTTCAGTGAAACGCCATTCGAATTCTGTGCCTTGCAAATCCGAGGGATCGACTAATCGTACATCTTTGGTAACCTAATAAAGAACAAGTAACGATATGATTACTAACGCAGGATTTCATATGAAAGAACACACATCTAAAGGCGACTCAGATTTGATTAATATGCCTGGAAACCCTTCTTCAGCGCCCACAGTGCGATAATGCCAGTTTAGACCTTCCACCATTACCCAATTGCGTTCTGATATAACCTGTGTAACAATTCCTTGTTTACCCTTATCTTTGCCGACAAGCACTTCAACACGATCACCACGGAAGAAACCCCATTCATCTATAAAAAAAGATGAATAGTTAAGCAACTATTTGCATCAATTGCTTGGAACCTTAAGTGAAGTTTTACTTACCCACTGGATTAAGAAAGACCTTTTTGCGTATAGTACCGGGCATATTTTGCTGTCTAAACTGTCCTGTCCATGGCCGATTTGTTGTATATCGAAAACGCTTACGCTCTACTGTGCATTTTGTGTAATTTGGCAGACCAGATGGTGTTTTCCAATAGACCTTTAATTTAAAATGTATAAATAGCATGAGGGATAAAACAAATTATGTATAAGAATTGTAATTATGCTGCTGTTCTGAATTCTGCTGAGTTGACAGTCCTTGGCCGGATAAAAATCTGGGTTCGTTCCGGTTACGTAGACCCGACTGTCGAGGGAACTGTAAAGTATGCTGCTTATCCATATTTATGACATTACACAAGCGCACCTGCTTTTTACTTCTCTCAATGTATTCCTTTGGAAAATTTGAGAAGTTTTTTAATTTAGTGGCCAAAAACTGGGTTAGCCTCATCTTTCACAGAACTTATTATTATAAAACCAATCGATTCGTAAAGGGAATCGCGTGAATGTTATAAAACAGCTGACCGCTGACAGTTTACTTGATGCGTTCGAAAGCGAAGCAATAATGAAAACAGAAACCTAATTTGTTTTACAGTGTAGAAAGTACTTGTTTTTTTTTAACAGATTCATTGAAACATTTATTTAAAATTAATAAATTTTCAAGTTTATATACTCAAAGAGCATTGCTTCAAAAGTTATCTGATAATTTGGCAGCGTTTATTACATAAATAAATTTATATACTCAATGAGCAATCTTCCAAGAGTTTTCAGCTAATTTAACAGCATTTATTATGTATTTATTTTTCATTATTCATACTTTTCCCATAATGCAACTCTGTGGCGATCAGCTGTTCTTCATTGCATAGCGCCATTCGCTCCATTCTCCACAGTAAAACGAATTGATAATTTTATATGTGCATTTTTTACCGACTAGTCAACAAGAATTTTATAAACAAATATAAAAGAACATAGAATTGCTATAAAAAGCATATAAACCACAAAGTTAATTTATTTTCTTATACATGAGCCGAAGCCGAAGTGCAAGAATAGTGGAATTCGTGAAAGAAAACAGAAACTACAAAATTCGTTGGTTGTAGCAGATTACTACTCACTGCTCGTCGACAAGCGATTATCAATAAATGAATAATAAATTTACGCTTATGCTGACTTGATATTAGTCATAAACACATAAATAACGTACATAAGAGCACGTATTTCAGTGGAAATATTTACAGCAAAACAAGCAGTAAACCAGTATTTAATTGCAACACGTTCCAATAACTATTTTGCGATAATAAGTGAAAGAAAATGTCCCACGATGCATTGAATATAGAGGGAGTTAAGCAGGAACCGGCTCTGTTACAAAAACATGCAAAATTTTTCGTTAGATTTTTGAATTTATTACCAGCTCGTCTGGCGTCACACGACTCCACCAGAGGCACCATTGCATTCTTCGCAGTGTGCGGATTGGATGTACTTAATTCGCTACCACTACTTACAAAAGAAATGCAAAAGGATGTCATTGAATGGATTTACGGTGGCCTTGTGACTTCAAATCTGGAAAAACAGCCAAATTGCAGCGGCTTTCAGGTAAACACGTAAATATATTACTATTGCGCATAGTCATTAATCAAAAGTGACTGGCAGGTGAGCGGGTTTGCAAATATACATAAATGTGTATGTACATTTGCACACATTTTCTCGCAGTACGTTATCTGTAGGTACGTGTGTTTAATCTTAGTTTTGTGCTAACAGCGCTGTGCTTTGTTTATACAGCATTTTTCCAACAACAACATCCACTGTTCCTAACTTATTAAAGTGCTATATTTTATGTTTGCTTGGATTTAATTTTAATATCAAGTAAACCGTCATAATTTGTTTAGAGATTACGCAAATACATTTTGTGTATTTTTTAAATTTATAATTAAAAATCTCACGTTTGTTTGTACTTAAGGAATTGTAAAAAAAGAAACCAAAAGTATGCGTTTCTTATCTTCCATTTACTGCAATCATATTTCTTATCAATCCAGTAAAACAGTTTGTCAAACAACGTTTTTCAATCAATTAATTGTGTTGTAAAAATTGCCAGCAACAATTATCAAAGAAATTACTGTAAACATAGATACTTTATCTTTTTAAATTCACGTAATTTCAAATTCGTCATTTCAGGGTTCACGTTGTGTGAATATCATTTCCGCTGACGAGCAATTACAGGCCAATGTCAAAATCTATCAGTGGGGACACCTTGCGATGACATATACTGGTATTGGTATATTAGCTACGCTTGGCGACGATTTGAGTCGCATAAACCGAAAAAGCATTGTCGATGGTACGTTCTCATACACACAGCTCATTTCAATGAAACATCATATGACCGTTTTTTCAGGTGTTGCCGCGGTACAGCGTCCAGATGGTAGCTTCAGCGCTTGCGTCGACGGCAGTGAAAACGACATGCGCTTCGTTTTTTGTGCCGCTGCCATATGTCATATGCTCGACTATTGGGGCAATGTAGATAAGGAGAAAATGTTTGAGTTCATAACCAGCTGTATAGTAAGTCAATTCTTGGTGGCAAATAGGCGAATTTTATTCTAACATTTATGCCCCCTTTACAGCGTTATGATAACGGCTTCAGTCAGTATTTAGAGGGTGAAGCGCACGGCGGTACTACATTTTGTGCTTTGGCTGCGCTTGAGCTCAGCGGTCAATTACATCGATTGGATGTAACAACGATAGAAAACATAAAACGTTGGTTGATTTTCAGACAGGTAAATTTTTTGCTTGGATACGTATATACAGTGTGCTGCTATAATGTAATATGAAATAATTACAGGTGAATGGTTTCCAAGGTCGTCCAAATAAAGCAGTAGACACATGCTATTCATTTTGGATAGGTGCAGCGCTACGCATATTGGGTGCCTTTGAGTTAATAGATTACGAAGAGAATCGTGCTTACATTATGGAGACCCAAGACAGCATTGTCGGTGGTTTTTCAAAATGGCCACAATCCACAACAGATCCTTTTCATACATATTTCGGTCTGTGTGGACTTTCGTTCATGAATGAGCCTGGTCTATCAGCAGTTATGCCCAGTTTGAATATATCAATGCGCGCTTACAATCGTCTGAAACAATTACATGCACAGTGGCAAGTGGAGAGTACAGATGATCGATTTGTTAGCAGCAACAAGTCGGCGTCGTCAAAACTTAATAGTGATGAAAATTCAACGTCCGTTACCTCGCCGCTTATAGAAGCACAATAAGGAGCATTTCTTTTACAAAAAAACTATAATTAAGCGGGAATGATTTTTATACAAAGTGAGCAATGATTGGACAACTATTTGACTATTTGTGCCGAAATATTTTGCAGTTAATGCAAGTTAAACAAAAAAAGTTATATATTTTACATACCTTTTATAAACATATGAAAGGCATATTTCTATTGTGACTGCTTGTTTACGTTTTTTTTTTTTTTTACACTGCAATAATTTTTATGCATATTCACGGCTTGCATATTCTAGCCTTAACTATCAATATTAAATTCTCAGTTTAGAAAAAGTGTATATAATTTTTGAAGTCAAATATTCCAATCATATCGTGAGTGTATCGGGAAACTATTGTGAATTAAAACATAAGCACAACTATTTTTTTAATAGTATTTAATTATATTGATCGGTATTGTAAATAAACTAATACAATTAAAGCTAGCTTAAATTGTTTTGTAAAGAGAATCACCCACATTTATATACATATATAATTAATTTAGTAATAAATTTATCATTTACGTTAAACCTGCAAGTAAAGGCAATTAATGTGCCCCTCCAATGCCGGTATGTTATAGCCCAGTTGCGGTCGATCAATGAAGAGACGACCACGTAGAGGCGCCAATACGCGTTCAGTCACATTCGGACATCGATGCACCATCAACGATTGAAGTTGCTGACACGTTGTTGTTAGAGCGCTGCAAATAAACGAAAAGCAGAGTAAAAATAAACTCCGCTGTCTTAGTTGTCTTTCTAATTGCTTTTGGTTTTGTAAGCTTAATAAATAAGAAAATCACTGGGATAGAAATCGTTCAGATACATGTCTAATTGACTTTGTCGATCGATGTGCGCGCGTTTGCGTAGCGGTGCTAAAGAACGCTCCGTTACACGCGGACAACGTTGCACGAGTAGCGAACGTAGCTGAGTGCAATACGTGGCGATTGCACTGTAATTAGACAAAAAAAAAAAAGAGAAGGTTGAAATATATAATACACGCTCCACTAAAATCTTATAGGATAAAGTTACTGGAAAGATGACAACGTAACATTTTTCGTATGTTACAGCTAAAATACACCATACTTACTGTATACCATAATCGGAAATGGCAGCGCATCCCACCAAATTAATATGTTCCAAACTGCGGCAGTAGCTGGCAATTTGTATCAACACCTGATCCGTTACGCTGGGTGTATTGGCTAATGATAAAACATTTAATTTGTTTAACTTTCTAAAAAATATTATTAAACAACGCTCTCCAATTGCTGTACAATATGAAATGTCGAATTCCACCAAATTACTATGGTGTAAAGTCAGCGCATCTACCGCGCCTGTTGTTAACCACTGGCATTTAGAGAGTTTCAAAATGCGCAACTCCTTGCATTCTATAATGATCGGCTGCAAAGCCAGTGGCGTAATATTCACGCATTCATTCAAGTTGACTACGCGTAAACGTCTATTTTCTGCTAATAACGGCAATAAGTATTCATCTGTTAACCAATGGCAACGTGCTAGATGCAAGTTCTCTATACGACGGCAGCATTTTCCTAACACGGCAAATGCTAACTCAACATTATGGCTATTATTACCAGCTAAGTTAATGTCTTTGCGTCGTTCAAATGCAGCTTCGACGAAGCGTTTGGCAGTTTTCGAACAGCAACGTAAGTTAAATAGGTCCTTGAGTGTAAGAAATTCCGCAACCATAGGTATCAGCACATCTTGCCAACTTATGTCAAAGAATGACACCTTTGCATTGCTGTAGGAGACTGCTAATGCCATTGAGGCCAAATGTTTCTCCTCTCCCTCTAGGCTGCACATTTTGAAGTTCCGTGTTGGCCAGCACACGAAAAACAAGAATTTAGTATGTTTCTTGTTTTAGAGCAATATTTTAAAGATTTTCACAATAACTTCATGGTATTAAATGCGTATTCTTAATGTTGTTCATTTTTTCTTTCTTTTATTTTGTTTATGCATACACATCAAAAAACAGCTGACGCTAGAAAGGGTGATACTGGTGAAATGAATTAAAAATACTGCTTCTTTCTTAAAATATGCTATGTATAAAATAAATAATGAATATATCAGTATTATGCTGTTAGAAAGTCTGATTACAAATTCTGAGAAAATAGTTATGTTTAACAAGTCAGATTGGAAAAATTGTTTCTGAAACTTTCTGATTTCTATTTAAAGCGGACATTAATCAGCTGATGACTGTAGAGATATACATTGAAATATGTTTAGAGAACTATGCATTTTTTTAATTAGAGATGTATCACATTTGCTTGAAAAACCATAATTCTATATTGTTTTTGAGATATTCTTTAACATTTGATAAATTAAAAATATATGTTTTTTTTTTATTACAAATGTGTTATCTTTAAAAACTATCTCGTCAAGACATTTGTTAATTCAGCGTATTCGAAACAGAGACGTTACGCAGAAACAGCTGTAATTTGAATACTTCAATAAGCTTATTCGCGCTCTTCATAAATATTTTCTTCAGTCTTTAGTCTATTTATATGTTTTGATAATCGGAAAGAAAAACACAATTGGATCAGAATGTCTGTTTGTACCGCAGCCGAAATTGCAGAAAAGCGTCGTATTGCATTAGAGAAGTTAGCAGCTAAAAAGCAACGTTTGGCTAACGCCTCATCAACTGCAACAAAAATAACATCTCCAGTTCAACAGCAATGCACAGCTACAGGTGCCATATCAACAAATAGCTTCTTTAAGCAGCAAAATCACACACAAACACAAAGTGATGCAAACGCAAAACTTCAGCAAAATTCGAGTGCTAAGCCCAGCGCTGCAGCCATAAATTTTCTAAATGATTTAAAGCGTAGTAACATTGGAAAGTATGTAAATAATGCACGAAATTCAGCACAACCATATCCCCGAAGCCCATTTCACAACAAGCCAAATGCTGCTGCAATTCAAACTGTCAGCAATGTAAATCAACAAAATCTGGCACCTGTTTTCGCTGTCCAAGTTAGCTGTAAGGTATATATGATCAGTAATACACGCTTTGTGGCACAGCCTTCATGTTACCATGCCAAACTTATCGATGTGTTTAAAACTATACCATCAAGATCATATGGTTTGTAGCAATTAAGGCATTGCGCTATAATTGTTTAGTATATTTTGTTTTTATTACAGATAACTTAAAATGTACTTGGAGTTTCGGACTACAAGATTATGAGCTATTGCAGGAACGCGTCGGCGGTATGAAGCCAGACGTAAGCATTGGCACCATACCAAAGAGTGTGATTTCAGTATGCCGCACACCGCCTGTGGAAATCGAACACTCCTGCTTATCCTCGATCGAACCAAAGTTAGCACAGAAACTATTACCTTTCCAGCAAGAAGGAGTTTGGTAAGTATTTCACGATTTACACTAAAGCATTTGTAGTTTTGTTATTTTGTCACAGTTTTGCTATTGCGCATCACGGTCGTCTTATGATCTGTGATGAAATGGGTCTAGGCAAAACGTATCAAGCGCTTGCTGTGGCAGACTTTTACAAGGAATCATGGCCTCTGTTAATTTGTACCACTGCTTCTGTTCGGTAAAATTTGCTATATTATAACTATCGTCCAATCATAAATTTTCCTCTCATAGCGAATCCTGGGTCAATCACGTACGCGATCTGCTACCCAGTATACATGTCCACTACATACAAACGTTGCTAAATAATCAGCAATATTTCCATGATGCAAAAGTGCTTATCACCAGTTACAATATGATGGATAAGCATGTTGACCGATTATTGGAGCATAAATTTGGTTTTGTAATATTCGATGAATCGCACACTTTGAAAAATGCCAAAACTAAATGCTCTATGGCGGCGGAACGTTTAACACAAAAAGCACGACATGTGATATTGCTTTCGGGCACACCAGCCCTATCGCGACCCTTAGAATTATTCACACAAATTCATCTCATCGATCGCAAATTCATGACATTTAAGGAATATAGTATGTAATGTTAGACTTGTAGAGAATTGGAAATTTTGCTAATTAATAAATGTATTCTTCAATAGCTACTCGTTACTGTGATGGCAAGCAAACGCATTTTGGCTGGGATGCGACAGGTCAGTCGAATCTGGAAGAGCTAAATGTTGTGCTAAAAGAAAAATTTATGATAAGACGCACAAAGGATTCTGTGCTGCCACAATTGGCTGAAAAGAATCGGTAATCAATGTGAAAATTTTAATATTTTATTCGTATGATATTTGATTTCAATTTGTTATTTTGATTTTGCAGTGAAACCGTGCTGCTGGACCCAGCGCTTTTGTCAATCAATACAGTATCGAAGCAAAATTTGGAAACGCTTAGCCGAGATTTCTCCACAAGCAAAGGCCGCGAACGCGAAGACATACTACTAAGGTTCTATTCAACGACGGCTGAGGTTAAAGCGCGTGCTGTGTGGTAATTAACACATAGAAACATGTAAAACTATTTTAGAAAATGAACACTTGTGTACTTGTAGCGCTTACTTAAAAAACTTGGTGAAAGACAAAATTAAATTCATTGTGTTTGCACATCATCGCGTCATGCTGGACGCCATAAGCGATTGCTTGTGCAAATTAAATGTGAATTTTATACGCATTGATGGCACTACCAAAAATGAGGCGCGCGGGGTAAATTTCCATGAAAAGTTTTTTGAAAATATTACGTCTGTGCATGATACGAAATGTTTAACTTTTAGGAATATATAGAGAAATTTCAAACGAAATCGTCCTGCCAAGTTGCTGTGCTCTCATTGCGCGCCTGCAATGCCGGCATCACGCTAACCGCCGCCGAAATGATTATTTTCGCCGAATTGGACTGGAATCCAAGTGTATGCTCAACAAACACGCAAAAAAATTTTAAATTACATYTGTATTGCTTTATTATCCTGTAGACCTTAGCGCAGGCGGAGAGTCGCGCACATCGCATCGGCCAAAATAAAGCGATCATATGCCGTTACTTAATGGCGCCGAAAACGGCCGATGATGCCATCTGGAATATGTTGAAAAATAAACAGGATGTTTTGAACCGTGCTGGTTTATTCTGTGAGAACTTGCAGGATGCCACGCACACCGCAGCGCCTACAGGGGTGATTACACAGTTTTTGTGCACATATAAAATATTTAATTATTCTACTTTTTTTATAGTCACATAAAATTGAAAACTACTTTTCGCCTATGAARAAGGTTGATCCACCTAAATCAAGCACGACGGCTGACGTTGTGCACATTAAACCACAACCAGCCGCTGGCGTTGTAGACGATGCAGCGCAGAAGTTGGACTTGAGCAAGGAATTGGAGAATATCGATGAATTTTTTATGGATGACGATGATGATGCGTTCAAGGACCTGATGTTTTGATTTTTGTTTGTGTGTGTGTTTTTTTCAAGTGTTCGAAGTAATGTGTTTGAAGTAATAAGCAGCGCATGTGTGTTTGAATATTGTAGTTGGCTATATTATTTTTTTACTATTATACGCTAACTTCTGCCACCAATAAATTCACAAAGTTTGTACTAATTAATGATTATAAACAATGGATTTCTATCTGTAAGTTGGTAAAATAATATTAATTATTTTTAAACTTCTTTTTTGTAATTTTTTTCTATT